TAACTGATCAGCAAAATGGAAAAAAAAATAAAATTTCAGCATTTTAGCACCTTTCCAGGTAAATTTCCTGAACACTTACGTAAATTTATACTGTAAATACAATGGCAATGGTTGTGGATGCCCAAACACACACTGGTACAAGTTATGGGGCAGTGCAGGGGTGGGGGGTGTTGGGATGATGGTTTATATTTAAGACACAGCAGCTTGTGCCTGTGTGTGTGGCGTCCCTGCAGCCCAGCTGTTGTACAGTTGTGTAACTCTTCACAGTTACAGAGCCTCTTCCTTATGCTTTCTTACTCAGTGTTCATCATAATTGAGGTAGGTAAGGCGGATCTAAAGGTTGTCCCCATTTAACACTTAAGAAACTGAGGATCAGGGCCTCCCTGGTTGCTCAGGGGTTGATCTCAGCACTATGAAGCTATCTGCTGCCAGTGCAGCCCAAGTTCAATCCCCAGACAGGGAGCTACCCACATGGCACAGCAGACCTCTCCTGACTCACCCACTGCTCCCCTCAGCAGTGTATTGCAGTCAGTTTGCCTGTTCTGTTCCCCGCTCTGTCTCTGGTGAATCCTCTCACCCTCACCCCACCTCTGACCTGTACCCCAGTTCTTGTATGCATAAATAAATAAATCTTAAAAAAAAAAAAAGAAACTGAAGATCAGATCAAATTTGCCAATCCAGTGAGTGACAGAACTACATGGTTGGCTGGGTGACTAAGAATTCCACACTTTTTGATCTATGGCATGAACATGTATAGCCATAACAAATGAGTACACCTTGTCCTCAGATTGCCCCTGTTTTAATGAGCAGGCATCTTCCTACCTTTTTCCTCTTCCTGAACCTAAAGCTCTGCTTGCTTTTTCTGTGGGCAGGATTGACTTGATGTAAAGACTTTGTTAATTATGTAGGAGACAATGAATATCTAGTTTAGTCTACGTTGCAGATTGTAGTATATCTCAATGGACAAAAGATTGTGAAATTTGAAGTTTCCATACTTTCTTTCAAATAGTTTCCAGTTGTTGCCACCATAAGCATTATCTTCAGGAACATCTAAATGCCCAGTACTATGGGGCAGGGCCACTGGGCAGCGAGAGGCCTAGCATGTGACAGCCCTTTGTGAACAGCGCTCATTGTCAGCCTCCTCTCCTGAAACAATACACACCCCCTTTGGCCAAGCCCCATCCATCCTGCTTCCTGTAGCTTTCACCTTTCTTTGGTGGTTGCTGAGAATGGAAATATGAAATGCCCCAATAGGGTGAGGGCCCTGCTTGTGTAGGCGGCTGCAAGAGAATCCCTCAATTCTTCCAAGCAGGCCTGTGCGCCACAGACTCAGAACAGGAGGGAGATTCCCTCATGGATGGCATTCAGGCTTAAGTCCAAAGCTGTGAATTCCTCCTTTTCTTTAAATTATTACTTTATATTTTGATTTTAGTTCATTATTATGAATTAACTTAAAATAATGCAATAAAAACATTTAGACTGGAACTTCAAATACCCTTGTTTGAAAATGTAGAACTGAAATATTCAAGTTGAAATTTGGACCACATAGCCCATCCCTTATCCTAGGAAGAAACCATCTAGTTGGAAGTCATTGGTGAAAAAAGTCATAAAACAGTCTCTGAGGGGAATAAAAATTGAGCAAATATTGGGAATTGCTTGATAAAGGTCTCTGTGAGACTGAATGATTAGGGATGGCATGTGAGAATCAGGAGAATGTTCCAGGCAGAGGAAATGGCAGAAGCAAAGGTCCTGGGGTAGGCATGAGTGTGAAAGCAGAAAGAAAGGCAGCGTGGTAGGGAGTCAGCTCTTTCTTTGCACTGGACTGCTGGCTGCAACCCAAACTGAGAGACCCCAAATGATGCACAGCTTGTCCCAGAGCCTGATGGTACCAGTTCATTTGCTCCTCAGCCTTCTCAGCTCCTAATATGGCATGTCTCTGCCAGGTGAGAGCTTAGTGCAAATGGCCTCAACTACTTAGAAATTAGCTCAGAACTCTTTTTATTTTATTTTTTTTATAATAAATTTTATTTTTATATTCCCCATACAATTGCAACCCCCCATTCTGACCCCAATCCCTCCCCTCCTGCCCCCCACCCCCCTAAAAGTGTCTCTGGTTCATAGTTTTTTGTTGATTTTGATTTTTACTTTCTTATAGTTATTCATTTTCCTGGTCCCTTATTTAAGTTCTCTAGATTCCTGCTATGAGTGAGACCATCCAGTATTTTTCTTTTTCTTTTTGGCTTATTTCGCTGAGCATGATCCCTTCCAGCGCCATCCATGTTGCTGCAAATTGCATGTGTTTATCTTTTTTGAATGCTGAGTAATATTCCATGGTGTATATGGACCACATCTTCTTGATCCAGTCATCTATGTTTGGGCATTTGGGCTGTTTCCAAAGCTTAGCTATTGTAAACAGTGCTGCTGTAAACATAGGTGTGCAGGTGCTCTTTGGAATTGATGTTTCTGTGTCCTTTGGGTAAATACCTAGGAGTGGAATTGCTGGATCATATGGAAGCTCTATGTTTAGTAGGTCCAGAAATCTCCACACAGCTCTCCATAGTGGTTGGACCAGTTTGCACTCCCACCAACAGTGCAGGAGAGTTCCTAGAACTTTTTTTTTTAAAGACTTATTTTTTATTTATACAAGAGCTGGGGTACAGGCCAGATGCAAGGGAGGGTGAGAGGGCTCACCAGAGACAAAGCAGGGAACAGAACAGGTAGACTAAGGCAATACACTGCTGAGGGGAGCAGTGGGTGAGACAGGAGAGGTCTGCTTGCTATGTGGGTTGCTCTGAGGCCAGCAGGGATCCAATCGGCACTGCAGAGGCTGCTGACAGCTTCACAGTGCTGCGCTCAACTGCCTGTGCCACCAGGGAGGCCCAAGCCCAGAACTCTTTAGTAAGAAAAGTTTTCTGAATGTCCAAAGTCAATGTTATTATTATCAAGTGTGGGTGGTAACAGATACACTCAAATATACCTTTCAGACCTTTCAGTCTTATCTTGCTTTACACACAATGTGATGACTATTAGTTGTGTGGAACTTATTTTAAGTCATACAAACATCATCTTTTCTCTAAGCTGACATGAGGAGACTTCTTGGTAAAAAGTAAGCAGCCTGACACTCAGGGGCCTGACACCCCTCCCTACTGCAGTCTAAGAAAGACATCCACTCACTCATTTCCACAATTGAAAGACTACCCCCTTGCTAATTTCTCCTTATTGCTGACTATAAATGAACATCAATACCCTGTCTTCTCCTTATCAATAATTACGAAAAAGACAGTAAGGCCAAAAGCTGATTGTTAGAAAACATGACCCTTCAATGTTCTGTCCGGAGTTTCCAAACCAAATTTTCAAACAAATGACCGAAGCTTATCAGGCCCGTGTGTCTAATTCCTCAAAACTCCACTATGCCCAGCCCCCACAGGAACATACCTTGGGGTGGCCCCTTAGTTGTGAACCCAGATCACGATCCTGATTCTCAAAGAAAGCCTTTCTTGATTATATCAGTCAACATTTGAAATAATAAATGAAAAAGGTGAGTTACTTTTCTTAATCCACAATAGGTCAGGAAGAGTGACACAACAATGCAGATGGTGATGATGATGATAAAGCAAGGAGGGGTTTGCTGGCTCTGCAGTTATGATGACAACTCAGAAAGTAGCAGTAAAGGTTCGCCTGTTGGCACTACTAAGGTAGGAAGGGGCAGACTATTACAGATTTACACTCACATTCACATACAGAAGTGTATGTAGTGCTCACATACAGAAATACAGAAAGTCATCTTTACATAGGAAAAAATGTGAACAGGTAGTGTCTGGCTGTATTTGCAATAGCAAAACAGCTCTGTGGTGTGAAGGATCAATGAGGTTATTATAGGATCTCGTAAAATGACCCTAAGCCATCGGGTAGACAGGAGTAGCTCCTGCCAGAGGAGCGCATGTATGTTTCATTTTATACGCAGGTCATGTCACTGGTGGAGCGAGCCCCTGGCACAGAGCAGGTCTATGGAAGGGCTGGCTGTGCTGCCGGTTATGGTGAACATGGACATGAGTCTAAGTGGCTCAAAAAGATGCAAACCCTGGGCTCCAACCCAGAGCCTACATGCTTCCCACACCCCTCAGCAACAGTTCTGATCTCTAATCTGCCATTTAAAAGCTTATTTGGTGCCAGTCCTAATCTGAACTGACAAAGACAATCTCATGTATTGCCCTTAATATCAATACTATATGTTTATAGTAAAACGATCCATGTGCTTCATTCCAGGGTGCTGTCCAGGTCCTGCTGGAGGGTCTGCAGTTTTCTAAAAATGGGAGGTTCCAGCTTCTGCACAGATCTGGCTGGCCTGAGTGAGGAATGTGGGCTTTGCAGGTCACCGTTTTGTGACCTGGGGCAAGATAGTGTGGTTCTGGGTGGGTCTCCACATCATGTGATGAGCCATTGAACCCAATCTACTCTACTTTTAGGAAAACAAAGGCACAGAAAGCTGTGCTGAATGAAAATATTTTAGAAGCTTGTGTGTAAACACGGGTGGTATGTTTAGGTTCTAATTAGTTTTCTGTTTCTGCAATGGAATGAAGATAGGAAAATATTCTCTTTTTTTGTTTCTTTTTTTTTAAAGATTGATTTATTTATGCATACAAGAACTGGGGTACAGGCCAGAGGTGTGGGAGGTGAGAGGATTCACCAGAGACAGAGTGGAGAACAGAACAGGCAGACTAATCAAAATACACTGTTGAGGGGAGGAGCGGTCGAGACAGGAGAAGTCTGCTGTGCCATGCGGGTAGCTCCCTGGTGGGCCAGGGATCGAACTCATGCTACCGAGGCTTCGGATTGCTTCATGGTATGGTGCTTAACCCCTTGCGCCACCAGGGAGGCCCAGATAGGAAACTATTCTGCAAAACATTTTTCCCAAAGAGAGGGATTCCAGAGCCATACACCCACACTCACATAGTCACACACAGCTAACCTTCCTCCACACATTAATATAAATTATAAAATTAATAATCCAATGCCTTGAGTTATATACAATATTGTAAACAATGCTACCTCCAAAAACCTAAAGAAACCTGTAATGCAAAACAAGAATCAAATGGACATCACCCCTGATCAGTTACTGAGGCCCACACACATTTAAAATAAAATGGTCCCTGGGTTGAGCCAGTATTTTCTCTTTTCACTGGAATAGAAAAGGGAAGCTTTCTCTTTGCAAGTTTGCATTCTCTCAGGGTTTGTTGGGAGTGAGGTGATAACAGAGTGGGAATGTTTACCAGATGCTGGGGGTGTGGTGACAGCAGCTGCTTCTGCCCAACACCTTTCCTATATAAACTGGGCTGCGGCTCCACGTGGGAGCCTCCTTCGGTCCATTACCTGCGCAGGGAGCCCCGGTGAGTACCTCCCTGGGCGAGGGCGCTTCCTCTTCTCCTCTTGCACCCGAGAGACTCTTAGTTTCCTTAATGCTTCTCAATATCCCTCAAGTCTGAACTCAGGAAACTGGTCGATTTGGGTCTGCAGAAAAAAAAAAAACCTTCTGCCATTTCAGGGCTTTAAGCCCCATCCTCATGTTCCTGCTACTGCTGTTACAACTCCTCGGACCACACTGTTACGACTGCGGGTTACTCCCCAGTCACTTGGGTTTCTAGGAGTGCAGATGTCTGTGCTTTGGGAGGAAGGACGGGGTAGTGGAGGATTTCAGGAAAGGGGATAACGGGTTCTCTTTCTGGACGCCTACTAGTCCCTGTGACATCGCGACTCAGTTTCCCCATATGGACAAGAGGGACTAGATGAGTCTTCCCTGTGCTGGGATCTAGTTTGTGTGGCCCCACTGAGGCCACGCCCCACGGTGACTTCCACGTGCTCCCCTCCATGTCTGCAGAGTCACCATCCGGGCCCTGCAGACTAGAGCCAGCTGCTGCTCCATCCGCGCAGGGGGCCCAGAGCAAAGGGCCTGCAGACCTTCCCTTGTCTGGACACCAGAGCCCACGAGTCCTCAGTGTTTTCAGAGCAGAGGCTGCTGGGAGGGCGGCTGGGAAATGGCTTATGGGATGCACAGGGGGTAGTGGTAGGGGTGGGGAGCTCAGCCTCTCCAGGTCAGGAAGGAGGGGGCACAGGAATGGAGTTAACTCAGGCTTCAGACCCCCCAGGGCGGATGCCCCCAGGGGAAGCTGGCCTGAGCTGAGGGAACCTGAGTCTGTCCCTCAGAGGGGAGAGGACTTTCCCCAACATGTTGATGTCAGGGAGCAGCTTGTGGGTTTCATGGCCCAGCACCCCTCTTGCTCCCTGGGTCGGTTCCCCAAGACGTTTCTGTGCTGGCTCTGCTTGCTGGGGTCTTGTTGGCCTCTCTTGGCCCTCCGCGGGGGCAGTTCTTGAACCTGCCCTGTGCTGGGCACTTGGGCACAGCTGGGGCTTGCTGGAGGGACCATGTTTCAGAGTGTCAGGAGTTTTGGCTCTTGGCTGCTGCCAGCCCACCAGCTGCCGGGGCTCTCTTCTCTGTTCCTGTCACTTTGGCAACTCGGGCAGAAAGACGGGCTGTGCAAGAGGTTTGCATGTGGACAAGTTACCTCTCCATATCCCACCCCCAATACTCACCCCCCCATTGAAGCAAATCCTAGTCGGGGGAGGAGGGACCCTGGGTTTTGCTGTTGCCCCAGAGGTGACATAAAAATACCTGGAATTCAATATAATGTGGAAAACAGTGTCTAGTAAGTGGTGATTTGGAATAAATGTTAGCTGCCCTTTCCTATCACCTTCCTCATGCACTCCCACCGTCCCCCTTGGGCTGATTGACAGTAGTCAGGACAGCCGAGCGATTTGAAAAATGCAAATCATGATCGTGATATGTTTCAGATGGTTCTACCCATGCACTAACACTTCCAGCCCCACAGGCACAGTCCAAAGCGACTGATGTGCTTCTGTCAAGGACAGAATGTATTTAAAATTTGTGTTTAAATTGGAAGTGCACTATGAAATTGAAAGTGCACTATGGTGGTGACCTCTGAGGGTCAGGCCGTGATTTAAAGTGAGGAGATAAATGTCTCTTTTCAAACCCCATCAGTGCATCACTTAAGAGTCTCAAGTCACTCACCAGTGTAAACCAGGCCTCTCCCATCTCAGCCTCCCCCCATGACCTGGGCGGTCAGCTCACCCCCTGCTGGCTGAGGCAGCTGCAGGAGGGATCTACCCCCCTGGGCAGGGCCCTGTGTGCTGAGGTCCTGGGCCTGGCCCAGAGTCAGTCTCCTGAGTGTTGGACAGCAGGGGTCCCGCAGCCTGAGTGTGAGTTGCCTCAAAGGTGGAGTCACTGAGACCTGAGCACTGCATTTTTTGGTGTCCTCGTTTTCTCTGCTGTCAACGGGGCTGGCAGAGGTAGAAGTATAAGCCTCCACATGAAGCCAGTGGGCAGAAATGCACATGGCAGTGTGAGGCCGCGGGGGTTCACGTGGGGGCGGTGCAGGGAAGCCTGGCACTCGGTGCTCATTAAACAAGGCCTGGCCGCTCTGCCTGCCTGTCCTGCCGCTGACACATCCTCCTGCCGAGCTAGTCTCCTGCTGCGCTCTGGAGGCCACTGCCTGGTGGAGCGGGCTTGGCCGGGTCTCCTCAACACCAGAGCATGTGCTGCCTCCATCCCTCCTCTATGGCCTTGGGCTGCTGTGTTCTGCACAGGAGACCCCAGAACAGGTGCTGGGAGTGAAAGGGGGAGTCCCAAGCCATGCAGAGTCCAGGTGCTGGTGACTGCCAGGAGCCCCTCATTTCCTGCTCCCCAGGCCCAGGAGGACAGAGAAGGGTCCTCTGCTTGGCCAGCAGAGTTGCTCTTGCCACAGGGTGCCCATGTGGAGGCAGGAAGATGAGCCAGAAGGGCTCTCAACACAGCAGCAAAGAGCCCGTGGGTGATGCCTGGGCCAGGCCTCCCCCCAGCCCCTCCTCTCTCACCTGGGCAGGGACATGTCTCTGGGTGTAGTCCCAGCTGCCCCTGGAGGATCTTTCTTCTCTGTCTCTTCCATCAGGAAGCCAGATGCCCCGAGTGTGGCCTGGAAATAGGCAGGGAGGGCAACAGCTGGCTCAGGAGCTCGGGGATAGGAGCAAAGACAGCAGGACCACTCCTGGCGGTGTCCAGGGAGATGAGTCCTTCACATCTCTGTACTCAGGTCTTTGGCAAATCGGAAAGATGGACTCAAGGGCTGAAATTTGGTGCTCACCACTGCTCACCTCCAAGTTCATATCACCACACCCTTCACTCCCCTGCACCCCCTACTGATTTTGCAGTCCCTGCGCTCCCTGCCACAATCACTGAGGGCCCCTCTTTCTGTGGCTGCTCCCCTAACTCTGTTTTCCATCCACAGACCATGGCTTCTTGCCCTGAGCTGGACAATGCCCAGCGCGAATGTACGGAGGGGGCTGCTAGTGGGCCGCGCACCCAGCCCGGGGAAGACGAGGACACCCTCAGAAGTGAGTCAGGTCATCCAGTCTTGGGCTGGCCTCCCTGAGGGCCCAGGGCTCCTGACTCTGACCCCTCATTCCTCATGCCCTGATGTTGGTTTGGACAGATGACCCTGGAGCCCCTGTAACAGAGACTGAGCTTCTGCCAACCTGCTCCACTGTGACTCTGATGGAGGTGCCTGCAGAGGAGGAAGACCCCTGGGGCCTGCTCGCCCTTCAGGACAAGGGCATCAAGTGGTCAGGTAAACATGGGGTGGGGGGGCAGCAGGAGGGGGCCAAGCTCACCACTTCCAGTGACTCTGCCTCATGTCACCCTCCAAGTCCCCACAGTTTCCTGCCCTAGGAGCAGAGGTCCTGGTGGGGGAGGGGGGTGCCCCTGCAGGACCAGGAGGCCTAGACCCTAAGACAATGTGATGATGGGGCACCTTTTGTCCTCGCTTCATTCTCCAACTGTGCCAGGCACTGGGTGGGCACCAGAGCAGACACTGGGTGATCCTTAAATCCACTGTGACTCACCTGCCCTAGATACTATCAGGGGCTGTGGATAGAACTGGTGCTGGAGGGTGTCCCCTCACCTAAAGGCAGTGCACAGGGAAGTCTTCAGAAGGCAGAGAATGTTCCCCAGATCAGCAGGGTGTGAGCCAGCAGTGCACTTACTTGCAGGTGAAAGGTCAGTCTGTGGATCAGACAGCTGGGCAGGGGTGGGAGGTGGGAGAGAGCAGGTGAGGTGCACGTGAAAATTGAGTGGAGACACAGCAGTCAAGGATGTACAATTCCAGGGGTACCACCCTCCCCCAGTGCAAGCGGTAATGGCATGCTTGTGGCCACATTCGAGAAAGTGCTCTGTGCTGTTCCGTAAGTGCTTGGAGAACCATTTCCTCTGCCCCCACTCCTCAGTGGCAGGTGCTGTGATGGCTCATCAGGGACATGGTTCAGCTGAGCATGGGGCCTGGCTGGGCTGTCCACAGCCCAAATGTAGATCAAGTGGAGACGCTTCACCCGGGCTCAGCTACATGGCTGGCAGTGGTCACTGGGCTGCAGAGGGCGGCCATTGCTGGGCCATCTCCAGGCCTTGCTGTGCATCAGAGCTTGCAGCTGCCTGGCCGGCAGGGACAGGGGAGTCTGAGCTCTTTGCAAAGCTCAGTGTTTCAGACACTAAAATTCTTTGTGCCTTTTCCCCTCCTCCAGACAGAGACACCAAAGGGAAGATTCTCTGTGTCTTCCAAGGGATTGGGAAATTCATTTTGCTTCTGGGATTTCTCTACTTCTTCGTGTGCTCCTTGGATGTGCTCAGCAGTGCCTTCCAGCTGGTTGGAGGTATGGAGGGAGGGGTCGGTGACCTGGGTGGGTCATTCCACTGACTTGGGTTCAGTTTCATTCCTGTCTCAGCCCACTCACCTGCAGCTCCTTGTTTCTTAGAATTGGAAGCCCCTTCATTCATTTGTGATTTCTATGCATTTTACAAAAGATAGAAGTGAGACCTATAAAAGGTCCATGACCCGGATAAGGCTCTTTCCAGCAGCCAGGGCTGAATTCAGTTCACAGCCTACAACTGGCACAGCAGGGCCAAACTCATTTTCTGTGACAGTATACCTGGGTCCTGCAGTCTTAATGAATGTTGAGATTGTCATCTCTTGACCCGAGAAGCTGGGCAGAAAAGCCACAGGGGGTGTGTCTGGCTGCAGACTGACTTCTGCGTTGTCAGTGTTGGTTCCCTTGGTCCCAGGCAGCATCCCCAGGGCTTTCTCCTCATGATAGTGGGCAGATGCAGGATGAAGGGACAGGAGAGAAAGGGTGAGTGTGGTGGGGACTTGGCATCGGTGTCCTACTGGGAGAAATAACAGGAAGAAAGTTACACAGGCACCAACAGGGCTGATGGTTGGTTCCCAATCCTCTGACTGGGCATACTGGAGACTTCTGTGCATGTGATCCTACCTAACCCCCTTCCATGGTCATGGATTTGTTTTTCAGGAAAGCTCGCTGGACAGTTCTTGAGCAACAATTATATTATGTCCAACCCCGTGGCGGGACTGATGATCGGAGTGCTGGTCACTGTCCTCATCCAGAGCTCCAGCACCACCACATCCATCACTGTCAGCATGGTGGCCTCCTCACGTGAGTCCTGGATCCCTTGAGCCCGTTAGCAGGTCAGCTTTCCACAGTCCAGCAGGGAGCCTGGGATTTACTCTGAAACATGATGACCAAATCAGTTTCTTTCACTTTACTCCAAGAGACTCTGGTTTCCTTTCTCATAGTTCAGTCTGGAAACAGACCTCAATGTTTGAGGGGTACATGTATGTACACGTCTATGGAGAGCCACCCGAGTGGCCATCAGATTCGCAGCCAGGTGCAGACCCCGCAGAGGTTAAGACCTGCTGCTATAGAGGCCTGTCAGCCTGAATGCGTTCCCCCTGCCTCGGGCCATCAGGACGTGGCCAGGCTGCCTTCCCAAAGTGCCAACCACCTTTCCCACCCTCAGTGCTGACCGTGAGGACCGCCATCCCCATTGTCATGGGGGCCAACATCGGGACGTCCATCACCAACACCATCGTGGCGCTCATGCAGGCGGGAGACCGCAATGAGTTCCGAAGGTAGGAGGCTCCGCACCAGCCCTGCGCCCCGGGGCCCCGCGGCCACCTATGTCATGGGAACTTCCTTCACCGAGCCCTTGGCAGCGGCTTGTCATCCCTGGAGCTGCTGTGGGTACTGGAGGGAGGCGGGCACACACCTACCGGGCAGCTAAACCCAGCCCCCAGGGGGGGCTGTATAATGTGTCTCCACCACTGTGGGTCACTGGGCTGAGGGCACAATCCCAGGGGCAAGCGCTGAGCCAGGGGCCTGGACACAAGCTCCCCCCTGGGAGGGGCCTGGAGCAAGGCCAGCTAGGGTAGGATTTCTGTCCCCATGCTCAGAAAAAACACTCCCAAAGCCTCCATTTGGGACCACTTTTCTTTGTCTTCACGTCATGCTAATAAAATGTCAGAATGTTCTTTGTGAAGGTAAGACCTGAGGATGGTTCTGGATGAACACAGGCAAGGGGAACCATTTTCCTCCAAAAGGTCAATGTGAAAATCAAGTGCATATCCTGGCCATGCATCCCCCCTGAGCCTCGCCAAGGCCTCATCCCTCATCCCAGTGTCCCGAGGTCACGGTCACAATGTGCATCCCCGGGGGCTCCTGCTTGGATTTCTCAGCAGCGAGTAGACTTTCTCAGCCCCATTTATTCATGTGGAAACATGAACAGGCCACGTACCTCAGGGAGGGCATAGCTGGGACTCAACCCTGGTTTTCTTTCTCCAGAAGTGGGTCCTTCTCGGTTACACTGATTTTTGCCCCGAATAACCTGTGAAATACACACAGGATCCCTGGTGCTGCCCGCACGTAGGAACGAGATGGACTCCCAGCCCCTGAAGGGGTATCTGGGCAGATTGTCTCAGTGACATCACTGGGGATGAGTGACTTTCTTTCCTGGTAGTTTGAATTATTATCCTTATAATTTTCTAGAATAATATTTTCTATATCCAGCACATGTAAAGCTCTTAAAACATTTTGCCAAACTCCTGAGTAGTGTCTGCATCCCTCTCTACCAGAGTGTATGACAGGGTCTGAAATGTCTTCTCCAAAAATAAATTATTCTTTGAAATACTAAATACTAGCTAATACAAGAGGTAAGAACTTGTATTTATAAAAAAAAAAGTAAGTTACAACTTAATTTCTCTATTACTATGACTTGAAGCATTTCCCTCAAGAAACTAGTAATAGAGTAGTCATGTGTGTATTTGCTTCTGTCCACTTATGCTCATGTCCCCTGTGGATTTGGGTGCTTCTGACATGCAGGTGTATTTAAGGGAACTCTACCACTTCCTAGTAAAGTCTAGAGTTCTTAACCAGGATATAATACAGAATTCAGGGAGAGTGTGTGTCTCTTCTCAGGTAGATGCAAACTGTAGTTCATATTAGCTGTGTCCAGGTGGGGACTGTTCCAATGTTTCATCAGAGTCTTGAGATGACTTTTTAAAAAGTTGGGAATTCAATTAGTTAAGGGTTTTAATAATTACCTTCATACATATGCCCATCTTTTCGATTGAAAGCTAAAGGGTCTTCTATATGCATGATTCCAAAGGCGTCTGAAGCAATCCTTCCACTCAGTGGTCTCGGGACTAATTTTGCACGTAGCATAACCAACATCTTCTGCAAGCAAAGAAAACCGTGTTTGATCTGGTGGTAAAGGCTCCCCTCGCAGTCGGGGACAAGGGTGCTGGGCAGTCCCCATGCAGCGACCTTCATCCCATAGGCTGGGTGCTTTCTGTGTCCTCAATGGTCTAAGGGAGCTTGTGCACACGGACAGGCGACAACTGATACAGTATCGACCTGCCTGGATTCGTGTCCACTTGCTCATTGACTAATCTGGTGTTGGCTTGGGGTGGTTTCCCCTTCTGCAGGGCTTTTGCAGGGGCCACCGTCCACGACTTCTTCAACTGGCTCACGGTGCTTGTGCTCCTGCCCCTGGAGGCCGCCACCCATTACCTGGAGGTGCTGACCGACAAGGTGCTAGAGACCTTCAAGTGGAAGAAGGGAGAAGATGCTCCAGCACTTCTGAAAGTTATTACAGATCCTTTCACGAAGCTCATTGTCCAGGTAACGCCACTCTCTGAGTGTGAGAGCGCTGCCCGAGCCCCCCTGCTGCACCCAATCATCCAGGAATGGTGGAAAAGCATGAGGGACACTGCTCTGTGGTTGCCTCTGAAAATGATCAGTGGAGGTAGAACTTTAGGGACACTCGACAGAACACTAGCCATTTTTGTGCCCCGACTTAACACACGTACCATCTCTATTGGGATAAGAGCAAGAGGTGGTGCCCTTTGAGTTGAGTTCTACAGACTCAAAGACCCTCCACTGACTAGAAGTTACAATTTGTTCCCACTGCTGAGCACAGGGTTAGTGGAGTCACTGAACAAGGATTATCTTACTCGTGATTCTCATCTGACATGTGTCCAACTAAAAGCAAAAAATCACCCAGTGATTACCTACAGATGCTCTTCCATACCAGTGTTTGTCTATATAATCCTTTATTTATTAAACACTTGCTAAACTCTAGGTGCATATGCTCCATTCTGGGAGTGCAGCTAGGGTGGGTCCCAGTTCACAGTTAAGTTCATGACCTCAACAAACACCTGCATTTCTTTCCCACATGACCTCTGAGGACCTGCTGCCTGTTTTCTCTTTCCTTCCTCAGCTGGATAAAAAAGTGATCAGCCAAATTGCAATGAATGATGAGTCAGCAGAAAATAAGAGTCTGGTCAAGATTTGGTGCAAAACTTTGACCAATGTGGTAAGTTTCCAAGAATGTTGCTAAGCAGGTAAACTCTTTTAACTGTGCTTTAAGTGACAAGGTAAGAGAATGAAAAATGTGGGACTCCTAAAAAAATCACTCACTCACTGATGCGTGAGTAATGATTGAATGCTGAATGAATAGACAGAATGAATCAGACAAACCCCTTCGCCCCGTCTCCCACCACCGCTACACTACTGCTGGCTGGTCACTACATACACGTCTCCTGGCTTATCTCTGCTGCCTCTCTGTTTCCACTAGTGGAGCAATCGGTGGAAATAGTGCCTCGTGCTCACAGGTGCACCACCTGTGTGTATGCTGACTCCCCCACTCCTCAAATTGTCTGCTTCTCCCACCAAGAGAGAGAACTGGGGATTGTAAATACTATTCTCATGTTTGTCACAGACTCAGAAGAATGTCACTGTCCCCTCACCGGAGAACTGCACCTCCCCGTCCCTCTGTTGGACGGTTGGTGTCTCCACCTGGACCACCAAGAATGTGACCAACAAGGAGAACATCGCCAAGTGTGAGTGGGGCAGGCAGACCTCAGCCATGAGTTGTGGGGGGAACTTTCTGGGGAGCCGATGGGTGTTGCCTATGTGTGTAGGGCCCCAGTTACGAAGGAAAGAAGGACAGTGAGATTTAGCATAGACGCAACCTGTTCATTGAGCTACCTGCTTCCACAGCAGAGGAAACTGAGGGCTTGGGGCAGGTGACAGGCAAGGTTCCACAGGAGGGGAGAAGTGGGCCTGACACCCAGTTCTCTGGCAGTTCCAGCTCCTCCTCAGACATCATCAGCACACTCTAGAGTGTTCCCTCCAGGAGCCTTGGCCTCTTCTTGCCAGAGACTCTAATGAAGTGACAGCCAGAGAGGAAGGAGATGTTGGGCCCACACAGAACAGACACATCACCCTCAGGCACGAGTTTCTACTATGGGACCAGCCCCACTCACAGCCCTGGGCTGGGGCACTAAGAGAGTAGTGAATCTCCTGCCCAATGCTCCTGTTTTTCTGAAATATCAGGATGTTGATGGACATGATTTCATTACATGTTATATATCTATAACCTATAATATAATCCAAAACAATACCTGTAATATACTATATGTATACACATTGTTTTATATATATATATGTAATATACATGTACATTTATACACATTATAAATTTATATCTGGGAAATTTTCCAATCCAGGAATACCTAGTTCTTCTAATTATTCCTTTTATACCCACTTGTGTACCTCTGCTTTCATCTTCCTCTCCATTTCTACCTCTCACCTTCTCATGAATTCTGAGCAGGACACCTTAATCCAGGTGTGCTTCACCACACAGAATCAGAGAGCCCTTCACCACTCTCCCCCCTGTTCTAGGTGCTACACATACATTGCTATTGTCATGTTTTACTGGAATCACCATAGGGTCACACAGGGAGTTTGAAAGGCAAGGTTCTACAATCAGCAATCCCCCCTGCCCTGTCTTGCCCATCCTACTCTACCTTGCATCTCAAACACGTTATGTGAGCAACCTCAGCAAGGTGAGTAAAGCACACATGGGAACTGTCAGGCCCCACTTCTAGCCGAGCTAGAAGATGTAGCTGGAGGCCTGCGTCTGCCCTGACTAGCTCTGTGACTTAGGGATTTCACTTCATCTTCCACCATCAGCAGATGCACCTACCAGCATATGGTCTCAGGGCTGCATGTAGCTGCAAGGGAGGCTGGGAATATGGTCTCTATTCTGGATTATTACATGTCAAATTCAAAAACAGATTCTGCTACTGTAGAAGGATGTTTAGGAATAAATAACCCAGTGGCCTTCAGTGGTCTCTGTCCTACTAACAGGATTTCTCTTGGTCTCCTCAGGCCAGCACATCTTTGTGAATTTCAACCTCCCGGATTATGCTGTTGGCATCATCCTGCTGATTGCCTCCCTGCTGATCCTGTGTGGCTGCCTGATTATGATTGTCAAAATCTTGGGTTCCATGATCAAGGGACGGGTAGCTGGTGTCATTAGGAGGACCATCAACACTGGTAGGTGCACTGACCCCATCCTGATCTCTCTGAGGATGGCATCACTGTGACAATCTGGAGAACCCTTAGATATTATGCAGCAGTGGTATATGCATGCAATTTATTGAATCTGATAGGCTACAGAAGTTGTGATGCCCTTTACTTTGAAATCATCCTTGGTATTTTGAGTAGGGCCTGGGAGCAGATTCAACCTTCCATTTCACGTTGAGCAATGTCCTGAGGAGTCAGCTCAAACCTAGAGAGCTATGGGGCAGAACTTCCTTCCTGCCAGGTTTCCTCATGGGTAGGACTTTGCTGGATCTACCAGGATCCCTTAGTAACAAGATAACAGATACCCTGTTCCTGACATGCCAGCAAATTTAATTCTGGACAGATCATCAGCATTTTGTGCAACCAATGGGACTCAGTTGGCAGAGAGGAGCTCCTGCTAAGCACAGCATCCTGGCCTACAGAGTTACCAAACCAGGGACATCACCTGGTTTGGTGATGGTTGTCATGACAACCTCCGTGGTTGTCATGAGGGTGTGCTGGCTCTGGGTGATTCCTGGGACCTGATCTACACAGATGCCAAGAATGGGGAAGTAAGGCTTCCAAGCCCCTGTATTTTCTAAATGCCCCTTTAGATGGAAAAAAAGGTGAGGATGGGCAGGATTGGGAGAGCAGACTGGGAAGTAGTCTGAGAGATGGAAGAACTTTATTTGAGGAGTAAATTTACTTGGGTGCTTAACTGCCATCAAGCGGTTAACAATTGAAACTTATTTCTCATAGTCCAGCAGGCTGAGAGGTCCAATATGAGGTTATCACTGGGGTTGCAGTCCAGTGAGGACCTCCTTTTAGATTTGCAGCTGGCCACCTCATCACTATGTACTCACATGGAAGAAAGCATGCAGAGGAAACAAGTTCTCTCTTCTTCTACAAAGGCACTAATCTATTCATGGGGACCCCACTCTCATGACTTAATTAGCCCCAAAGTCCCCACCTCTAAATAGCATCACTTTGGGAATTAAAGTTTCAACATAAAGGGTCAGAGGGTTTGGGATAGGGTTCAGGTATTTCTAGCTCCTGACCTACAGTGGATATGTTTTTGTCTTCATAACACACATCCCACATCCACCCATGGTTCCATCATCTTAATGCACAGGATGAAAGGATTCTCAATTTGCATTCTGCATGTCAACCTTGGTGTGGAGTGGGAATCACCTACAAACCTAACCTTCTGACTCAGCCCATTGCCCTGCACCTTGTGAATGTGCCAGCTGGCTCTGTCATGTGCCATGCCTTCCCTACAAGGTTTGTGAAAGATCTTTCCTTGTTTCTTCCAGATTTCCCCTTCCCCTTCGCTTGGGTGACTGGCTACCTGGCCATCCTTGTGGGAGCAGGCATGACCTTCATTGTGCAGAGCAGCTCTGTGTTCACATCTGCTCTGACCCCACTGTATGGTGAGTTTCTCCCTGATATCCAGCCCCCGCCCCAGGCCATTTGCATGTCCTGTGATCTCCTGAAGTTGATGCTATGGACCGTGTGTCCCCCAGGTATCGGCGTGATATCCATTGAGAGGGCCTATCCACTCACGCTGGGCTCCAATATCGGCACCACCACCACCGCCATCCTGGCCGCCCTAGCCAGCCCTGGCAACACTTTGAGGAGCTCACTCCAGGTCAGGAAATGCTGAGTGGGGCAGGGGCTCTGTGGGTGGAATACACCCCTGTCTGAGACCTGGCCCTTAGTGGGTTTCCAAGGAGAACCAAGGTTTTCATTGTCACGGGACTGTGATGTGGGGGAGGAGCCGCAGCCAGGCAGCTTGGAGATTAGGCAGGGCCCGGTACTCCTCAGAGAGGCAGGGGCACTCTCACTGCCCATGGCTGTCTAAATGCAGGGCCACACTGGCAGGTGGCACCTGATGGACGTGGGAAGGGTTTCCGGGATGTATGGGCATCACTCCCAGTGAATCTGCTTTCCCCGTGGGGAGCTCTGTCTGGTCAGAGGGAAGTCCTGTGGCCTGAGGCTGGCTCTATAAGAACCAGGTGGGCCTGCCTTGCCTGGATCAATTAGTTCAACCCAAGTTGAACCCGAGTAAGGAGTCCTAGGGCTTTAGGCCCTCAAAAGTGAGCTGTGATACAGCGCTGACCTCCCTTGCTTTGCCCCAAGACACACAGTAGGTCTTCAGTCCTGGGGGTCTGGGCCAAGGTAAGGAGACAGGGATAACCTTGATTGTGTCCTGGTGCTGCTAGACGGCCCCCTTCTCCCCACCCTCACCACAGAACAGACCCACTCACCTGGGCAACCTGTGTTTCAGATTGCGCTGTGCCACTTCTTCTTCAACATCTCAGGCATCTTGCTGTGGTACCCCATCCCGTTCACCCGCCTGCCCATCTACATGGCCAAGGGGCTGGGCAACATCTCAGCTAAGTACCGCTGGTTTGCTGTCTTCTACCTGCTCTTCTTCTTCTTCCTGATCCCGCTGGCAGTTCTGGGTCTCTCGCTGGCCGGCTGGCAGGTGCTGGCGGGCATAGGAGTGCCGGTCATCTTCGTGATCCTTCTGGCGGTGATCATCAGGTTGCTGCAGTCCCGCTGCCCAAGCATCCTGCCCTTGAGGCTGCGGACCTGTAACTGCCTGCCCACGTGGATGCGCTCGCTCCAACCCTGGGACGGACTGGTCTCCAGCTGCTGGCAGAGGTGCTGCGGCTGCTGCAAGTGCAGCAAGTGCTGTGAGGACCTGGCGGCGGTGGAGAACCCCCCCTCTGTGGCCTTGGATAACTTGGCCATGGACAGAGAGGCCCAGGATGCACCCCCCATGTCTAAAGTGAACCCTCTGGGTATGAACTCTGACAGCAGGAGCACAGACTTGTAGCTGCCCCTGTGGTCTGTGGAGGCCCCGAGTCCTGTGCATTCATGCATCTCAGGTTCTGCGTGATTCTCTCCACCTACTGGGATTTCTTTCCCATGAAGCGACGGAGTTGACATCAACACTGTCCTTCATTTCCCTCTGCCCAGCAAATCACCTGTAGGTAGTTTGATCTCAATCTCTCCTCCTGGGTCTTCCACTCCCAGGAAGGCCCAGAACAACACTGAAAGAAAATCAAATGAAATGAATTTCAGATAATTAAATGAATTGAATGAAATCCCTAGAGATTTGATCACACCGAGCACAGCACACAGCTGGGCTGGTCATAGGATACATTCTCAGTCTCAAAACAGCCTCTTCTGAAAAAAGTCACTTCAAGAGAGGGATTTTTGGAAGTTTCTCAAAGTGCACAGGTTTGCGTTTTTCTTTTCTGTGATAAATCAGGTATCTTCACCAAAGACTTGCCAACCGAGAACAGGTACTTGTGCCAGGTCTCCTTGTGCCAGACCAGCCAGTTCAGGGGAAACCTCGTAATTATGGAGAGGCTTTAAGAAAACCCCCCATGTGGATCATTCCTGCTCCCCAGTGCTCTCGTATCCCCTGCCGGGGGCTCCCCACCTGGGCAGGTAAGGCCCATCTGAGGACTCTACCTGCTTGTCCCTGTCCAAGTTTGCAAGACGGGAGCTACATGTGAGCTAGAGCACTTCAGGTGCATTTTGGCTCACCTGGTGAATGCTGGGGGCAGATATTTTATCTGTTAATAAGGGTTTTTTTTTTTTTTGGCTGCTTTGATGAATGACAGTTTAATCATAACACGTAAGCCTCCTGCATACGTGAGAGAGACCCAGTAAAAACTAAGTTTACTCACAGCGATGGTTTAAGTCACCTCCTTAAACAACATCAATTAAAGACAAAGAATGTTGGGGGGCTAGGCGCAGGGAAAGTTCAGTTATAGAAGGATGCCAGAGAGCAGCAATCAAAGGCTCAGACTGGCATGCAGAAGTCAACTGCTGACTTGTCCAGTGATAAAAGTGAGAGAATTAGTCTTTATGGTATCAGAAGGCAGACAGACTTACAGATGGAGATTTCCCCTTAGATACATGTCCGCTGCCTCAGGGTAAGCTCCATCCAGTTTTCAAAGCCCCTCTTACGAAAATACTCCTTATACTAAGGGGTCATATTATTGGGTGGCAAATTTTGCTCCCCTACAGTCCCATCACTGAAACTTCAAGAGGTTTCACAATTCAATCTCAGTCCTAAAAATCAGTCCAGTTAAGCTGTTGTTAATATCTGAATGGATCTTAAAGTTAGACCTATACTGTACAAGCAACGAGGCATTTCCACAGATTTCTAAATCTTGGCATTGAAGCACCAGCAGATAGTGAAGCAAGGTTTTCCTGCTTTTGATGCCTCTGATGTTCTTGGGTTTTTAGGTCAACTTTGAGTGGCCCATTCAGCAAGTGTTCTGAAGACTGTCTAGACACCAGATCTTGCAGGGATTCCAGAAAGGGAAGCTGGTACAACCTCTCCTCCCCCAGTCTAGCTGTGCAACAATTTTAACTAGTTCAGGACATCAAACAGCCCTCAACTGACCTTCCTCCATGTAGATAACAATACCAATTCCCCACCAGAGCCATCTATATCCTATATTCATTAGAATTTTTCAGAAGTTATATAGTGAACCGTATTGTGATTTTCATTTTATAGTGCTTTTATTTGGAAATGAGGCTGGGTTCTATTGTGAAACGTAAAGAGGAGAAAGATCCCCTTTGTGTATTTTGTGATACTGCCTTTGAAACGTGCCTCCCTGCCTCGCCCCATCACTGTAAATATGTAAATGGGCCCCGGTGGGACTGTGGTACTCTTTGTACTCTGATAATTTTTGAAAAGTGGATCCACGTGCTTGTGATGATTGTAGTTTTGTTACTGGCTGTGGGAAGGGAGAAATAAAAAGTATTGAAGACCCAAAGGAGTTTGTTGCTTTCAATCACAGTGAAATAGTAACCTCCTGGATCTTTTTAATGTGTGAGTTTCTTGTCTCTTCCCTCAGTGGAGTCACCCCCAATTCTATCTCCCACCCAGCTACGATCACCTACATAATGTGTAATCACCTTTACTCAAAGAGGGGGAAAGTGTTATTACAGGTTCTAATAACAAAGTTGTTTTTTCTTCTACCTCTGAGTCTTCAAAAAAAATTCTATTTAATGCTATAATAAAAAAAATTATCAGCTTGGGTTTGGCAGTGCATGCTGGAATGGCAGCTTCAAACACAAACAACAGCTTTCATTCCTGGGGAATCAGTCCTACAAAATCAACTCCTGTTTCATTTCTCGATGTGTGCACGTTCTACCTCATGATGAGTAAGGAAGAAGTGAAAGGAAAAGGAAGTACAGGCTGCTTCTTTCCACATCATCCAGTTCTATTAGATGGCTAATACAAGAAAGTAACACGAGAGAGGATGATCAGGTTCCTTAGTGTTTTGTTCCCTTTTTGCTGCTTGGGGAAAAGCTCCATTTGAATGAGAAGTGTGGCCTCTCGGAGCTGCAGGACCCACTACATGTAGCTGTAGATGAAACACACCTGTCTGCACTTGCTTGCTGTGGGCGTACATGTGTACTCAGGGGGCAGGAAGGAACTCAGCACACACATTGCCCATGATCTGCTCACTCCATCCTCAAGTCCAGTGCATGGTCTGCAGTCTCACTGGATTCCAGTCACAAAACACAAGTTAAAAGATCAATCAGTGACTAATTTCAGGACCCTGACGGCAGAGAATTTCAGGCTAGGATGTGACTTTTTTTTTTTTTTAAAGATTTATTTATTTAAAGATTTATTTATTTATACAAGCACTGGGTACAGTCAGAAGTGCAGGAGGGTGAGAGCGGGGAACAGAACAGGCAGACGGACGAAATACACTGCTGAGGGGAGCAGCGGGCATGGTAGGAGAGGTCTGAGCGCCATGTGGGACCCTCACCGGCGGCCAGGGATCAAATCAGTGCTGCAGAGGCTGCAGGCAGCTTCGCAGCCCAGTGCTCAACCACTGCACCACTAGGGGAGGCCCAGGATGTCACTTTCTTGAGTGTGAGTGCCGTGGAATTGTTTACCTAAGAAGCCACCCCGATCCTCCACCCTTTGCCAAACAAGATCTATCCTGGAGATGTTCCAGGTATACTTGAGAAAGTAAATATTCTCTATAAATCTGTTAAGCCCATCAGGTAAGTTAAGTTATTGAAGGCCAATGTTTCCTTGCAGATTTCCTGTCTGGATAATTTACCCATTGATGCAAGTGGTATGGTAAGCCCTGTACTATGATTATATTGCTGTCTAGTTCTCCCTTTTGGTCTGCTAAGATCTGTATTATATATTTAGGTGTTCTAAATATGTACTCTTGTTATAGCCTCTTTCTGGGTTGACCCCTCTATTATACGTAATGCCTTCTATGTCTCTTATACATTTTGTTTTAAATTCTATTTTGTCTGATATAAGTATAGCTATTCCAACCTTCTTTTGGTTTGCATTTGCATGGAATATCTTTTTTATATTTTCACTTATAGTCTCTCTGTCCTTACATCTGAAGTGAGGTTCTTGTAGGTAACATATAGGTGGTTCTTGTATTTTTAATCCACCAGCCACTCTTTTGATTGAAGAATTTAGTCCACTTACATTTAAGTAATTATTGATGAAGGTGTACTTATTCCCATTTTGCTATTTGTTTTCTTGCTGCTTCTGGTAATGTTTCATTTCTAAGTATGAGGAGGATTCTTATTTGAACCAGCTAGAGGTTGACTGTTGGTAGATGTTTGTTATCATAAAGAGTAGTTTCCTTTTTTTTATTATAATTAAGCCTTATATCTAAAATAAATCATAAGTAGATATTGAAGTTCATCAAATTTTTCAAAAATACTTGTTAGGGGACTAATAGATGAATTTTACGAGATTTTTCATACAAAGTAATTTCTGACATAGCTTTTTTAATTTTATATACTACTGGACTTGGGTTTAACTTTTTCATTTCCCAATATAGAAGTGAATGTCAAATATACTGGTTAAAGCTTTATATCCGAATTAGTTTTATAAACTGAAGTTTTTTTTTATTGGAATGCTTCACAAATTTGTGTCAATTTTGTGCAGAGACCATGCTGTTATTCTCTGTGTCATTCCAACTTTAGTACATGTGTTGCCAAAGCAAGCACTATAACCTGAATTTTGTTGCAACTCAGAGTTTCCTCTATCCACTGTCCTAGGACGACTTCTTTATTGTTGGAATTATCTTTTCTGATATTTTAAAAAACAATTTTGTCTTATAATCATTTATTTACCACCAGCTTTTTTCATGGGGGCAATTAACTCTTCTTTCATGGTCATTGCTTTGTTTAGGTTATCTATTTCTTGATTCAAGTTCAGTAATTTGCATTTTGCTCAAGAAACACACCTTCATAAATATTTTCAAATGCATTTGCACTGGTTGCACCCAGAATTGTAAAATTTCTTTATCTGTAAATTTATCCACTACCTAAAACAGTATGGACATTTAAAATGGAAGGACTTAAAAGGTCCAGAAGGCCTGGGTTCTAATCCTTATTTTACTACTTTCATGATGAGCTTAGTTATAATTTCCTTCACTTGTCTGGCTCCTGAAATTTAGAAAATGAAAACAAGAATTAGATTTTATCCTTCATAAGAATCCTAGGAGGTAAATTAAAGCAAGTTAAGTGCTTAACATTGGGCCCGGGACACAGGAAATATCTAGTAAATGTGGGCTACTCTGAAGTATCTAATATTGGGTATTTGAACTTTTCACTTTTTTATTATGTAATAATGTTATCTTTTTAAAATCAAAGGCAGTTTCTTCTATTTTCTAACTCAATTTTTTTTATTTCTCTGAATATCCTTCAAGTTTCTTCATTTTCTAACTTCTTAAGCCTGTTAGTTCTGTTAATTTTATTCTTGCTTATTTAATAATGAAAGCATTTCCTGCTTTGAATTTGCTTCTAATTACAGCTTTGCCAAGGCCCTATAGCAGTACTATTTATGCTTATCTCTGCTGTTTTTGAAATACGCTGCCACTGCATTTTGGTTTCATCTTTCAAAGATTATCTAGGATATAATTATTTTATTTTTGTAGGGTTGAGTCTTTTTGCTGATACTTTCTGTTGAAATATACTGTGAGCCACATATGTGATTTGAAATATTCTAGTAGCCCCATTACAAAGTAAAAACGAATGTGTAAAATTAATTGTAATAGTACATATTACTCAGACTACTTTATCCAAAATATTTGCATGTGTGGCTCATATAAAATAATTGCCATACTTTATATTCTTATTTTATACTACATCAAAATCTAGTCTTACATTTATAACACTCAATTTGTATGCTAAATTTTCAACAGAAATACTTGGGCTATATTTAGAATATAAAATTTACAAAAAGATTCACAAATGAAATTGTCTTAAACATTCTTAAATTTGTCAATACAGAATTCAATTAAAAATTCAATTTTCTGGTTACAACAGACAGTTTTCAAAATGTCTCAAAGCCACATATGGTTACAGTCCACTGTATTGGCCAGTGTAGCTCTATATTCTAATTGAATTTTTCCTGCTACATCTGTCAAATAGAGATGTATTAAAAGGTCAACTACTTCTTCCTTACAGTAAGATAGAAAGTATTGGTACAATAAGCTCACACCCAGAAATGAAATAAAAACAACTGAGTTCTTTTTTGCCCTGTCCTCGCTGTATCAGTAGGAATGAAACACATGTATGAGCTACAAACATGAGTTGTGTGACTTTAGCAATTCTATATGAGTTAAAACTCAGCATCTGATAGTGAACAAAATAATGAACTGTAAAATTCATGTCAATTAATTTTTCGTTAGAATAGCATTAAAATTGCAAAGTTTTTAAAAGACAAGCCAACAGAGAGACCATAGGAGAAAGGAAAACTTGATGTTAGTGCCTGTAATGTACTCTCCCTGCTTTCTGACAAGGGACCCCACAAGGGATGTAGCTGACTCGTTGAGGGGAGGTGCAGGAAGAGAACTTTTGAAAAAGAGATCCAGGAGGTCCTTATTTCACTGTAATTAAAAACAAGACTCCTTCAGGGTTTGATTATCTTTTTTATTGTTCCCTTCCCACAATCAGTAAAAAAGAAAATACAATCAATGCAGGTATATATCCAATTTTCAAAGATCAGAGCCCCAAGACCCCCACAGCCCCGCCCAGGTCCAACTGACATATTTACAGAGCGTGTGCTGGGGTGAGGCGCAGGGGCGTGTTTTAAAGGCAGTATTACAAAATATACAAAAGTGGTCTTCCTTTTCTTTGCATTGCATAATAGAAACCTCACCTCATTTGCAAACGAGAGTACTACAAAACACAAATCACAGTACTACTTACTACATAACTTATGAAAAATGCTGTACAGGCGCGTGACTATAAATAGGGAGCTTATAAATGGCTCTGCTTGGGAATCAGTATCTACACGGGGAAGTCCAGGAGGGCTCAGTTTGGAAGCCCAGCAGTCAAGATGATGACTGAGCTAGGATGGAGGAGGACTGGAGAGTCGGGAACACATCCCCTTTCCAAGACAAGGCTAAAGCTCGCTCACTCACCAGAGAGAAGTGGGGTTGCTGGGGGGAGACAGGGAGGGAGGTGTGAATACAGCAGGGGCTCTGGAAGGCACAGAGAGAGTGTGTGGGGCAAGAAGGCGCACACTCCTTGCACCTGTGACATAGGGACCCCACGGCTGCTTGATGACAGTTCAGGGAGGGATGATGGGAAGAAACTGCCCATCCAAATAGCATGCAGTTATTTTGCACAAACAGCAAGGAGGCCGCAAGGAGTACAGGATTTTCCATGCTCACGCGCTCCTAGGATCCCAGGAAAAATACATGTGGTGTGTTTGGACAAACATGTGCGCTTACATGTGTTCCTTTGAGAACGCTCCATAGATCCCTCCCCCCATGGGTTTTTCCTTCAGAAGAAGGGGATTTGCCCGCCCAGCTGTGTGCAGGCACGGGTGGGGTGCTTGTGTTCTAGCCACGATACACTGCTCCGGTCTCGTCATGCTGAGAGTGGAAGACTCAGCAGCGACTGAGATCAAACCACCCTGCAGGCTGATGAGAATCGGACTGATGTCAGCTCCATTTCTCAATTGAGAGCAACATCCTGTGGTGGAGAAAGGCAAGCAGGACCAGGAAGAAAATGATCATGTGGGACCAGGGACCCTTGCTCCTGCTTCTGGGAAGACCCTAGAAGGCTGTGCTGTTAGAAATGGTCTTTGTGCCCAGAGCATCCAGTTGGGACTTGGAACCCCTGTCCTGGGACTCTCTGGCCATGGCCAAGTTATCAAAGGCCTCAGGGACCTTGATGGGGACATCCTGCACCTCCTCAGCATCATCGCAAGACTTGCAGCAGGGACAGCAGCACTTGGTGCAGCCGCACGGCATACAGCAGAGGCGGCAGCACCAGCAGCAGGTGCGGCAGCAACAGCAGAAGGGGTTCTGACAGCAGGAAGTGATCAGGCCGTCCAAGGGCTTGAGCGAGCGCATCCACGTGGGCAGGCAGTTACAGGTCCGCAGCCTCAAGGGCAGGATGCTTGGGCAGCGGGACTGCAGCAGCTTGAAGATCACCACCAGAAGGATCACGAGGATGATCGGCACCCCCACACCTAACAGCACCGGCCACCCAGCCAGTGAGAGACCAAACACTGACAGTGGGGTCAGGAAGAAGAAGAAGATCAGGTAGAAGACAGCAAACCAGCGGTACTTAGCTGAGATGTTGCCCAGCCCCTTGGCCAGGCGGATGGGCAGGCGGGTGAACGGGATGGGGTACCACAGCAAGATGCCCGAGATGTTGAAGAAGAAGTGGCACAGCGCAATCTGAAACACAGAGGTTGCCCAGGTGAGTGGGTCTGTTCTGTGGTGAGGGTGGGGAGAAGGGGGCCGTCTAGCAGCACCAGGACACAATCAAGGTTATCCCTGTCTCCTTACCTTGGCCCAGACCCCCAGGACTGAAGACCTACTGTGTGTCTTGGGGCAAAGCAAGGGAGGTCAGCGCTGTATCACAGCTCACTTTTGAGGGCCTAAAGCCCTAGGACTCCTTACTCGGGTTCAACTTGGGTTGAACTAATTGATCCAGGCAAGGCAGGCCCACCTCGTTCTTATAGAGCCAGCCTCAGGCCACAGGACTTCCCTCTGACCAGACAGAGCTCCCCACGGGGAAAGCAGACTCACTGGGAGTGATGCCCATACATCCCGGAAACCCTTCCCACGTCCATCAGGTGCCACCTGCCAGTGTGGCCCTGCATTTAGACAGCCATGGGCAGTGAGAGTGCCCCTGCCTCTCTGAGGAGTACCGGGCCCTGCCTAATCTCCAAGCTGCCTGGCTGCGGCTCCTCCCCCACATCACAGTCCCGTGACAATGAAAACCTTGGTTCTCCTTGGAAACCCACTAAGGGCCAGGTCTCAGACAGGGGTGTATTCCACCCACAGAGCCCCTGCCCCACTCAGCATTTCCTGACCTGGAGTGAGCTCCTCAAAGTGTTGCCAGGGCTGGCTAGGGCGGCCAGGATGGCGGTGGTGGTGGTGCCGATATTGGAGCCCAGCGTGAGTGGATAGGCCCTCTCAATGGATATCACGCCGATACCTGGGGGACACACGGTCCATAGCATCAACTTCAGGAGATCACAGGACATGCAAATGGCCACCAGCAGGGGATGTCAGGGAGAAACTCACCAATCAGCGGGGTCATGGCAGATGTGAACACAGAGCTGCTCTGCACAATGAAGGTCATGCCTGCTCCCACAAGGATGGCCAGGTAGCCAGTCACCCAGGCAAAGGGGAAGGGGAAATCTGGAAGAAACAAGGAAAAGATTATTCACAGCTCTTGCAGGGAAAGCAGAGGTGGGGTGGAGACTGTCTGAATTGTCCCCCAGGGTGGTCTCCTGACACTGCCTGGCCTTACCTGTTTCCACCTAGAGGAGCATTTAGGAAATGCAGGGGCTTAGAAGCCCTGACCAGCCAGTCCCAGGGACCAAGTGCACAGGCTGAGGTGCTGCCTATGTGGGAATCACCCAGAGCTAGCCCACCCTCCTCACTACCATGGAGGTGTGTTTTCCTAGCCCTGTTCCCTGAGGTTCATGGACAGGTAATGTCTTTGCCTTGGTAACAACAGGCCAAGATGCCAACTCAGCAAGAGCTCTTCTTGGCCATTTGAGTCCCTTGGTTGCCCAAGATGCTGAATTAAATTTTCTGGGATGTTAGGACAAGGGAGGGCATCTGTATGTAATTCTTTTCCTAAGGGATCCTGAAAAACCCAATAAAGTCCTGGGCATAAAGAGACCTGGCAGGAAAGAAGTCTACCCCACCACTCTCTGGATTTGATTTGGCATCTCAGGATATTGCTGAGCAAGATATAGAAGGTTATACCTGCTCCACAGGCTTAGGAGCTCCTAAGACACTAAGGATGATCTCAAAGTGAAGGGAATCTTAATTTCTGTAGCCTATCAGATTGAAAAATCACATGCATACACCACTGCTCCATGAGGCCTAAGGACGCTCCTAGGATACCCTGAGATACCATCCCTGCAGGGTACGGGAAGGGATCAGTGCACCTACCAGTGTTGAGTGTCTTCTTAATGACGGCAGCTACCTGCCCCTTAAGGACAGAGCCCAAGAGCTTCACAATCATGATCAGGCAGCCACAGAGGACCAGCAGGGAGGCAATCAGCAGGATGATGCCAACAGCATAATCCGGGAGGTTGAAATTCACAAAGATGTGCTGGCCTGAGGAGACCAAGGGAAATCCTTGTTAGGAGGAAGGACCTCCCAATGAGCAGGTTGGGTCTGTGCTTAGTAAATCTCACTGCACTTCTTTCCTTCGTGACTGGGGCTCCACACACGTAAGCCACACCCATCGGCCCCCCCAGATAGCCCCTCTCCCACCCATGGCTTTGGTCTGCCTGTTCCACTCACACTTGGCGATGTTCTCCTGGTAGGTCACGTTCTTGGTGGTCCAGGTGGAGACACCATCCGTCCAACAGAGGGAGGGGGAGGTGCAGTTCTCAGGTGAGGGGACGGTGACATTCATCTGAGTCTGTGACAAACATGAGAATAGTATTTACAATCCCCAGTTCTCTCTCTTGGTGGGAGCAGCAGATAATGTGGGGAGAGGGGGAATCGGTATACACACAGGTGTGTGCCCCTGTGAGCACGATGCACTATTTCAACAGATTGCTCCACTAATGGAAACGGCAGCAGCAGAGATAAGCCAGGAGACATGTAAATGACCAGCCAGCAATAATGTGTCTGTGGCGGGAGATGGGACGAGAGGGTTGTCTGTCCTACTCATTCTGTTTGCCCAGAATTTAGGCAATTTTTGCAAGTTTTCTCACTGGCCAGTGGTGATTTTTCAAGTCCCAAATTTTTCTTTCTCCCTCACTTTTCTTTTCCCCCTTTGAATAAAAGTTTTGACTAAAAGTAGTTATAAGATCTCACCTGCTCAGTTATACTCATAAAAACTTACCATGTTGGTAAAAGTTTTGCACCAAATCTTGACCAGACTCTTGTTTTTGGCTGATTCATCATTCATTGCGATTTGGTTGATAACTTTTTTATCCAGCTAAGGAAAGTAACAGGAGAGTTAGAAGGTCCTTGAAGTAATGTAAAAGGGACACAAAGGAGGTGCTGGTGGACAAGCTTGGCGGCCATGAGCTTGATTGTGAGGCCCTGCAGAAGTGAATTGGGTCACCCTCGGTGCACTCCAGGTGGCGCACAGTACCTACAAGTCAGCAAGTGTTTCATAAATAAACCAAGGATTGTGTGAGCTAGAACTACCGAGTAGGATCATTCATGCATCGTCAATGGATGCGTATTCACTGGAGGGTCAGTGACAGACAGGACCAGAAATCGGAGTGAAAAGGAAGGGCCGCACCCACAAAGCCTTCTGTCATTCATTTCAAAGACATTACAAACTATAGGAACCCGTGGGCTGATGGGTTCCTGGAAGGAAAGGGCAGTGACCTTCCCCTTCAGGAGCTGCATACTGCCCCTCTCAGTGAGGGGGGCTGGCTGAGGTCAGTGGCGGGAACAAAGACACCCCAAGTGCCCACTACAAGTCATGAGAACAATTCGACCCCATCCCGATAAAAATATCACACGGATTACAGCCAAGGAAATCAGGAAAGTCAGCTACTCTGTCAAGTGTCACGAAAATTCCACCTCCCTTACCCTTCTTCAGAGGCAGGCAAATGGCAGTGTTTGGAAACCGTTGGACGCACCATTTCTGCCTTACTACGTGGGGTCGGAGAACTTGGGAAGAAGCGCAAGAAAGAATGACGTGTTACCTGGATAATGAGCTTCGTGAAGGGATCAGTGATAACTTTCAGGAGTGCAGGGGCATCCTCTCCGTTCTTGAAGTGGAAGGTCTCTACCACGTGGTTGGTCAAGATCTCCAAGTAATGGGTGGCAGCTTCCAGGGGCAGGAGCACAAACACGGAGAGCCAGTTGAAGAAGTCATGGACGGTGGCCCCCGCAAAAGCCCTAGCAAAGGTGGAATCAGATTAGTCCACGAGCAAGTGGGCCCCCATCCAGGCAGGTCAGCACTGCATCCGTTGTCCCCCGTCTGTACACACAGGTATACGCTCTCATTTTCTAGATGAGTGGTGATTCTCACCCCCTTCCTCAGAGTGGGTGTTCTTAGTACCCACAACTCAACCACTGAATAACCGCAAGAAACTAAGGGAAGAAAATTATTAGAGATCCTAAGGCATGGGAACCCACTGCATGGGCACTGCCCAGGGTCTTTTCTCCCAAGCTAGGCAGAGCCCTTTGCCACCAGGTCAGACAGCACTCAGCTTTCTCTACTGAGTGGAAAAGGGGTACAGCTGCAAAGGCATTTCAGGGATCACAGTCTGGAAGAACTGCATTCAAACCAAATTGCATTGGAACAAGCGTAATGAAGACAACCTTCCTTCAGAAGGCAGGAGCCAATGAGGAGGCCATCAAGGCTCTGACACATGTGAGTTTAATGGCTTGGTGGGTGTGTGTGCCCGCCTCCCTCCAGTACCCACGGCAGCTCCAGGATGACAAGCTGCTGCCAAAGGCTCGGTGAAGGAAGTTCCCACATCATGCGCAGCCAAGGGCCCTGGGGGTGCAGGGCTGGTGCGGAGCCTCCTACCTTCTGAACTCGTTGCGGTCTCCCGCCTGCATGAGCGCCACGATGGTGTTGGTGATGGACGTCCCGATGTTGGCCCCCATGATAATGGGGATGGCGGTCCTCACAGTCAGCACTGAGGATGGGAAAGGTGGTTGGCACTTTAGGCAGGAAGGCAGCCTGGCCACGTCCTGATGGCCCGAGGCAGGCGGGCCTCATTCAGGCTGACAATCCCCTAAAGCAGCAGACTTAACCTCTTTGGGGTCTGCACCTGGCTGTGAATCTGATGGCGACTAGGGTGGCTCTCCTTAGAGAGAGGCACATGTTCTCCAAAGTTGCTAGCTTGTAATTTCAAGGCATGCACAGACTCCGTGAAGTTCTCTGTGGGGCCAGTTATAAATACCTTTCTAATTCCCCTTTCATTCCGCCCTATTACAGATGCAGGCAGCTTATAGGAGACAAGGAAATAATATTTAAGGACTTGCGTATTTATAATAAATTCCTGGTAGTATAATTGCTTTTTCTAGTTGTTAGTAATTTGACACAATGTTCTAACATATGAAAGGAAAGCATTTTATAATGGTAATATCTATTTCTAATAGCCCAGAAAAGTCCTCATTAACTTTACCTAAATTGTTGGTTTTGGCAGAAAATTAACCAGCTCAAACTGGTCCTCATCAGGGAGTCTGTCCCAACTTAATCAGAGCAAATATCAGAGAGGGTCAAGCTTGGCAGACCAGCTCCCAGTGGGCAGATGTCCCAAAGGCAATGTGCGCTGTGTTGACAGGAAGGGATTCCCAGCACAGTGATGGGGGTGACCCATCACTACACTATCCAAGTTGGCAGCCTAACACATGTGACCACTGACCCTTGGAAAGGTTGAGTCTGCAACTGAAATTTATCATTTAAATTAAAATTACATAAAATTAAAGACCCAAATGTGGCTGGGAGCTGCTGAACTGGACAAAACCATTCTAGAGAAATCACAGCTGAGCTTTCAAACATTGGAGTGTGTTTAGAGTCTGAGTTGTGGGAATAGAATCCAAGTAAAACACAGGGTACTTGGACAAGATAGGTAGATAATGGCAACCAGGCTGAACAGGCAACCCTCATTCTGTTGCGCTGCAACCAGAGAGTGTCTGACAAGACTCCACATGCAAAAGCCTGTGAATTTTCCTGAAGGCTCTGAAGATATACACAATTTTTTACCATTAAAGTATTTTTACTGCAATGTTAATTATTTTAACTAAAGATGTACATTATTTTTTTTAGACAAAATGCTATTGTGCCCTTATGAGACAAGAGCATGGTTGACCTAACTTTCAGATTCACCGGGAAACCCCAAAAAAGGCACGTGACTGATTTTATCGAGTGATTTGAAACAGAACCCAACACATCTCTGAAATCTGCCTGTTTTCGGAGAAATCCTGGTGTTCCCAGATGGACAAGGAAAGGCCAGAAAGTGCCAGGACTCACGTGAGGAGGCCACCATGCTGACGATGATGGATGAGGACGTGCTGGAGCTCTGCACCATGACCGTGACCAGCACCCCGATCACCAGCCCCGCCACAGGGTTGGACATAATGGAGTTGTTGCTGAAGAACTGTCCAGCGACCTTTCCTGGAAAGCAAACCCGTGACCATGGAAGGGGGTTAGGTGGGTCTGCGGAGCACAGAAGTCTCCAGTAGGCCCAAGTTAGAGGGCGGGGAACCAGCCTGTGCATCTTTCTTCCTGTTGCTTCTTCCCAGACAGACACTGATGCCGCATCCCCACCACACTCACCCTGTTCCTCTCATCCCTGCACCCTGCACCCTCCCACCCTTAACCACCCCCATCAACAAGCCCTCCTCTGTCTCTGGTCACGACGCGGCCTCAACTCTGACATTGCCTGATGGGCACCAGGAGGCTACTCCGGCCCAATTCCTGCCTCTGGGATAAAACCCCAATTCAGAGGATGTACACCTCAGGGTTGGGTCTTCTCAATCTCCTCTCTCAGCCTCCCTTGCTAGCTCCCGGGCCCAGCCCGGCCTGTGACTGAATGCTGGAGCATCATTTTGGAATGTGCTTCTGGAACCGTCCACCCACTACCAGTGCCGCTGATAAAGATGCCTGGGGCTAAAGCAGTGGAGGTGACTTGTCTGAGACAAAAGTACAGCTCGGAGGGATGCTGTCTAGGGCACAAGGACCAGAAAGGACATCTGGGAATAAAGTCTGCTGCCAGACATACACCCCGTGAGTGTCCTCACCCAACTTTCTCAGGGCAAGAAATAATAATCTCAAGACTCATCAAGAGTGCAGGACCCAGCTATTCTGTGTCACGGGATCTGAGTTTCGCCCTGGTGTGCCAGTTGTAGGCTGTGAACTGAATCCAGCCCTGGCTGCTGGAAAGATCTTTATCCAGGTCATGATCCTTTGTAAAATACAAGACTTCACAAAAGAAATGAGTGGCTTCCAGTCCTAAACACCCCAGAAGCTGCAGCTGGACAGAGTTGTCTGACATGTGACTGTCTGAACCCAAGTCAGTGGAATGACCCACCCAGGTCACCGACCCCTCCCTCCATACCTCCAACCAGCTGGAAGGCACTGCTGAGCACATCCAAGGAGCACACGAACAAGTAGAGAAATCCCAGAAGCAAAATGAATTTCCCAATCCCTTGGAAGACACAGAGAATCTTCCCGTTGGTGTCTCTGTCTGGAGGAGGGGAAAAGGCGCAAAACCTTTTAGTGTCTGAAACACTGAGCTTTGCAAAGAGCTCAGACTCCCCTGTCCCTGCCGGCCAGGCAGCTGCAAGCTCTGATGCACAGCAAGGCCTGGAGATGGCCCAGCAATGGCCGCCCTCTGCAGCCCAGTGACCACTGCCAGCCATGTAGCTGAGCCCGGGTAAAGCTTCTCCACGCGGTCTACATTTGGGCTGTGGTACAGACAGCCCAGCCAGGCCCCATGCTCAGCTGAACCATGTCCCTGATGAGTCATCACAGTACCTGCCCCTTGAGGAGTTGGGGCAGAGGAAATGGCTCTCTAAGCACTTACAGAACAGCACCGACCAATTTCTAGAATGTGGCCACAAGCATGCCATTACCACCTGCACTGGGGGAGGGCTTGGGCCCTCATATATCCTGAAATTGTACATCCTTGACTACTGTGTCTCCACTCAATTTTCAGGTGGACCTTAACTCCTCTTTCCTACCCCCCACCCCTGTCCAACTATCTGATCCACAGACCAACTTTTCACCTGCACCCGCAAATAAGTGCACTGCTGGCTCACACCCTGCTGATCTGGGGAACATTCTCTGCCTTCTGAAGATTTCCCTGTCTGTGCACTGCCTTTAGGTGAGGGGACACCTCCCCAGCACCAGTTCTATCCACAGCCCCTGATAGTATCTAGGGTGAGTGGAGCACAGTGGATCTAAGGATCACCCAGTGTCTGCTCTGGTGCCCACCCAGTGCCCGGCACAGTTGGAGAATGAAGCGAGGACAAATGGTACCCCATCATCACATAGTCTTTAGGGTCTAGGTCTCCTGGTCCTCCAGGGGCATCCCCCACCCCAACCTGAGGACCTCTGCTCCTAAGACAGAAAACCGTGGGGAGTTGGAGGATAAGATGAGGCAGTCACTGGAAGTGGTGAGCTTGGCCTGCTTCTGCTGCCCCTCCCCATGTTTACCTGACCACTTGATGCCCTTGTCCTGAAGGGCAGGCAGGTCCCAGGGGTCTTCTTCCTCTGCGGGTGTGTCCATCAGCGCCACAGTGGAGTAGGACGGCAGAAGCTCAATCTTGGTTACAGGGGCTCCAGGGTCATCTGTCCAAACCAACATCAGGGCATGAGGAATAAGGGATCAGAGCTGGGAGCCCTGGGCCCTCAGGGAGGGCACTCAGCTGCTAGTGAGTGGCACTTACTTTTGTGGGTGTCCTTGTCTTTTACAGGTGTGGTGGATGGCTGGTTAGCAGCCCCCTCCATGTATTTGTTGGGGTTAGGCTGGGCATTTTCCAGTTCAGGCCAAGGAGCCATGGTCTGTGGATGGAAAACAAAATTAAGGGAGCAGCCACTGAGAAGGGGTGCTCAGTGCTCATGGCTGGGAAAACAGGGTCTGCAAAAATTGGGGCAGTATCTGCTATACCTTCTCAGTGTGGAATCTTGGGTGCCATATTTTACTCCTCTAAACCTCCTTCAACCGTTTAGAAACTCACTAAATCAAACCCATTCTTAGTGGTTTCTAGTCGCCAATCCACAAATCAATTAAACCTCCTTTGATTTTTCTCACTTGTTTTCTGCCACTTCTGTCTGCCTCTGTCTGGACTTCTCTAGTCAGGAGGATGCAAATCCCCACTCTCTCATCACTTCCTGCGACGCCAAGTATTTAAGCACCTGCAGTGGCTGGCTGTCTGCTTTTCACTCTGACAGCAGTTCCGTGACATATCCAAATCCACCTTCACTGAGGGGACTTGACCTAATTATATGTGCGCGTGTGTTCTACCTGTTTACCCACCAGTACTTCTGCGAGAAGTAGGACAGTGGACCTGGCTCAGAACCCAGAGCTGTCACTTATGAGTGTGTATTTAAGCAAGTTTGTTTATTGAGCATAAAGTGTCAGTTTCCTCATCTACAAAATGGGCACAATTCTTCATACTTTTCAGCATTATGAGATTCACAGCGACACCTGGAAAGTGACTGACACCCCGCTGGCACCCTAAGTAGGAGCATCAGTGCTCTGCCTTCTGGCTGGATCAACACGCTTCAGTCAGAGACAGATTCTTTCCAGCCCTTGGTAGGGACTTCCTCACAGCCCATTTTGCCCACAAAGCTGTGCTCAGTTACCCAGAAGCTGAGTGTGGCTCTTGACACGTTGAGGCCTATGCCCTAGTCCTCGGCTTTGACTTAGGTCAGAGGAAGCAAAGACTGGCACCATTCAAGAGGAAGGACAAGTGGTTCAAATACACCTTAAAAATGAGAATTCAACCCTGTCAGCGTTCCAGCACATACATATTAAAACAGATGAAAAAAGCTTCAAGTGTCCCAATAGGGAAAAAATATTTGGAGAACTAAACTTTTTCAGGCGGGACTTGGGATGCCCGCAGAAGGCCTCTGAGGTGAGCACTGAGGGAAGCAAATGTCTGCAGGACCTGACAATCCTCAGGCCTCTGACCCTGTAATTACACTTCTAGGAACAGCTTCTCTCAGAAAACCAGAAACACCTGCCTTGCTCTGATCACCTCTTTGCAAAAGGGCTTCTCAGAATCCGGGTCTGTCGGCTCCTTTGCTGTCTGTCTGCAGTGAATCTGTTTCCTCCTAGCACAAAGCCAGCTCCACAGAAAAGGGGCTTTGTCCGGCTCACTGTATTGCCTCAGGGCCTGCTATGCTTCTGGCAGTGACAGTGGCCCATGTGGGCTGACCGAATGAATAGGGACCAGACCTGTGCTGTCATTCCAGAGAAAATAAAAAAGCAGGCGAACCCCCAAACCCACAAAAGGTGAGAAGGTTAAGGACACCTGTGTTGTTATTGCTGTTGTTATCCATGCAACTGGGGGTGGAAAGAGGCTGGTTCTGTTAGTCCCCAGCATGAAGGGTTTTCATGAGGGGCTTGTTTAGCCCAAGGAGTGTTGACTTTCCCCGGGGAACTTTAGAACTGAGCAGAGACCATCCTGCACCCAGTGGCTCCCTTGAAGGCATAGACCAGATGCTCATTTTAGCTGAGCAGGCACCCAGCAGAGCCTGCACACAGGCCTCATGTGCCTCCTAGTCGAAGACTGGGACCTACTCAGCCAAAGAGGCACTATTCACAGAGCCGGGTTACACTAGGCACCTAACATGCGGCCTTCAGGAAGGTGTTACTAACATGAAGAAACTCCTCAGGAGACTAAGTGACACCCAAGGTCCCAAGAGCCTGGACCTTTTTGAATCCTAATCCTTCTCTGCAGCAGCTCTTGGGCTAGCACCCTCTGCTTGACACTGATCTCTCAGGGCATAGCAGCTTCTGATGTCATGCCTCCCCCCACCCTGAAGCTTCAGGGCATGTCACCAAGCATGGTCTTCTTCAGACTCAGTGACTCAGTGAAAAGCCTACTAGCTGACAATCCAGGGTGGAGCAAAGCCTGCAGCTTGCCAGGTCGCTGCTGGGGCTCCTTCCTGGGTGAGCTGAGCACCACTGGGCCCCACTGGCTGGGAAGCTGGGTATTTGGGAGGCGAGATCAAAGTAAACTGAGGTGAACTCCAGCCTCAGCTCAAATTGCTCATGTGGGTGAATGGCCCAGTGTGCTTTTGGGGGGACTGTAGCTAAGATGTCTACCTCTCTGACTTTCCTCACACAGGGATCCTTGGCGCCCTTAGCACATGGCCTGGATGTCTCAGTTTTGGTCAAGCACTAGGCTGGGCACGTTACATGGCACAGATACTCAGAATCAGATCCACCTCTGTGACCTGGGAGTCACTTGACTCTCTGTGCCTCAGTTTCCCATATGTAAAATGGGGTTTAGAGCCATAGAGTTATTGAGCAGCTTGAAGGAGCTGATTTCTATAAAGTGCTTATTACAATAGTGTCAGTGTAAGTCCCTCCTTTGAACAGCCCTGTGAGGAGTCAGTGTCATTCTGTTTACAGATAAGGAAAACACAATACCCAGGCAGTTAAGCCACAAGGCCCAAGGCCTCAGGCAGGATTCGAAATTAAGCAACCCCGTAGGTGAGTGACAGAGCCACTTTTTAAAACACAGCTCTCCTTATCACAGGTTGGGACCTGGATCCCCAATATCTTGAGCCATGACAAACATATTCCTGGAGCACTGGTTTTACTCACATAATCGGGGAAAGGAAATGTTAAAAAATGGCACTGGTAGATGATTTACATTGGAGATGTGGTATTTGCATGGGGCAAACTGTTTCTCAGCTTTGGCACTACTGACATTTGGGACCAGATGATGTCTGGTGGTTGGGAGCTGTCCTGTGTGTTGCAGGACACTGAATAGCAAGCACCTCACCCCTCTACTTACTAGACACCAGGAGTATCCCAGCACCCTTAGTACACACCCTTAGTACAATCAAAATGTTTCCAGATGTTGCCAAATATCCCTGGGGGACTGAGAACCACTGGTCTAGACATTAAGAGACTGGGCTTTAAATTCAACTGCTGTGGTTCACACTTCAGCTCTGTCATTTACTATGTGTCTTTGAGCTACTTCCTGCCTCTGTTTGCTCAAATGTCAAATAAAGATAGCAACACCTGTGGATTATTGTGATGAATAAATGTGCCATGTTTTGAAAGTTCTTTACAGTGTGCCTGGCACACTAAAGCTTGTCCAATTACCAGCTGTCACACTAAAATACGCACGGACATACAATAATCCAGAATGCAAAATTTACAAAAATCACAACATTTTTTTTTTTTAGAACATAAATTGCTTTGAACGTTCAGTCTGTTCTGAACTACTCACAGACCTCTAGAGAGTCATGTACCTGGCTCTCTGCTCCTGGGGGGCAGTTTGAAGGAAAGATTTGTGACTTTCCACCACTTCTCTTTCTCATCCAGTCTTAATTCACTCTAAATTGTTCTTTTATCTCCTGTGCACATTTATCCAACTGTCTAAATAGAAATTAAGCTTCAGAGGACAGGGAACCAAGTCATGCTTTTCCTTCTAGTGCCCACGGCACTAAACATAGTGAGTACATTTGTGAATGGGGAGTCAACGTACGGAGTTTGCTGAAGGAAAGCATTGGAGCCATGTGGACCATGACAGGGAAGCAACTGGAGCCTGACTGTTCTAATGAGTTGGGCCTCATCACCAGAGGAGAGCTGGTTTGGCCAAGACAGTGGAAGAAGCAACTGTCCCAAGACACTGCAGTCCCACTTGGGAAACTCACATCAGCCACAGGTGTAAGAATTACTTGCCTATTATTTAAATTTTGTTTTGGGTGAATACATTTCTCTGACTGGGCAGAATCATTTTCAAGCACTGAACACAAAGTGTCTGGTGAATACAGAAACAGACACTTCCACTGTCTGACATCCAATCCGTTTGTATTACTACGTGCAACGGAATGCACAGACACCCATGTGCGCAGAATAGAAAGGAGAATGATGGGATACACCAAGCTAAGTCACTGGGACACTTCCCCTGTGAGGCCTGTGAGCACCTCATTCACCTCCAGATCCTCACTGGATCTGGAGCATCGCCAAACGTAAAGGCCATTTCTGTTGAATGTCTCTACTGCTTCTTAAAATCTTTTTTCCCTATTGCAAGTTGAACCATTTGTTACAAGTCTACTTCCTCTTTACAAGCACTTCCTTGTGACTTTACCACTCCCCTCCCCCCACGCCCCCAGCACTTCATTTTCTGGTACAGTCACCTCTTCTACCATCACTGAGTGCTCACTGTGCAGATAAGGCATGAAGGGCCATACACCTAGCACTGTCCCCTCAAGGGGGGAGGGGGGCAGGCAGCCAGCAAAGTCATGTGACACAGCCCAGAACTCTCTGAGTCTGTCAGCCACCCCCTCCAGGCCCTCATGACCCACACAGCTCAACTGCTCCTTGAGACCTAAGAAGTCAAGAACTGTGGGGCACCTGGTGCCCAACCACTACACTCGGCCGTGGGCACAGCCCCATTCGCCTGGCCCTCCCAGGTAGCAAAGCCCCAGGGCTCTGTACAGGTTGACGCCACAGAGCTGGAGTAAAGGCAGGTCATGGTGCTAACTCCGTGTTCAGTCTAGAGACTACACAGCTGTTCAGGGGCTCCTTACAGCCCCGCTAAGTCGTCAGCTCTACCTATACAACGTGCCTGGCACAAGACACCCCTAGAGACCACACTGTGGGTGAGGGCTGGCTCTGCAGAGACCACCACTCATGGGATGACCCTGAGGATCTCAGAGCCTCAATATCATCATCAGAAAAATGGGACAGAACCATCACCTCATTGTCGTAGGATTAATTGATCAATAAGCGTGGCTGGGCCTGGCAAGAGTCCCTGAGCACAGGACACTCAGAACCTTGCAAAAATGATTGCATCATAAACAGCCCAGAGCCT